GGAGCAATTAAGCTAAAATAATGAACTTGGAAAAAAAAACATAGCCCGAAACTAAGAAGGTCTCTGATAGGTTGGAGTGGGATTTCCATCTGATAACATTAAAATTTAATTTGTTCCTCTTTCAAAGCAAATTAATCTTTGCTCATATAGCTGACCTGATAAGGTTATTAAAATCATATATGATGTGTCAGTTCGGTAAACTGCACTGAAATGCTCACTTCATGCAGCATCAGCCTTCTCTTAACATTGAAAGAAAACGTCTGGATTTGTGAGGGTTCTTTTTAATTACCAGGATACTTCAAACATTGCTAAGTGCTCCTGCTGCATAAGGGGTGCCCTTAGCTTAAAATGCCATCATTCACAAAGGTGAATTAAAGTGAGTCTTGGTTTTCCCTGCAGCAAGACTGCAGGCACGGGGAGTTTCATAGACCTTCAGTTTGAGCCTGTGTGGCTGCTCTGAAGTTCTCAAACCAGCCCTTCCTCTGCCCTTTTTTTAATGTTTCAATTAATTTTGAGAATACTTTTTGCTTGTTGAGTACCATATAAACAGCATTAGCAAAGAGCTGTGATATGGGACAAGTGGCCTGATTTGATGGTCACTGAAGCTGGTTGAAAAGCTAAAGGCTGTGAGCTGAAAAGAGAATTACAGCAGCATCAGATTACTCTCAATTGCATTCAATCAATAAGCACTCTGCTCCCTCCATCACGGCCTCTCAGTGCACTCTACCACACAAAATACCCTTTTGAAAACTGTGTGTTTAGCATTATAGCACGCTGCACTGAATTGCAGTGAGTTGCTGAGATGGCAGGCTTGCGGAGTAATGTGGGCTAAAAGCTCATCTGCAAGCCCACAAAGGAGCACATAGAGACAACAGTAGGAGGGGTAGCTCAATAATAACCTGCCCCAGCTTTTCCCACACCCATCCTAGGAGCTACCCAGCCCATCAAGGGCCCTTCTGCATCAGCCCAGAGGAGCACTGGGGCACAAAGGCAGCTGGGAACCAAATTAAGGACTCAGGAAGGGATGCTCTGCCTAGGTCCTTCCCAGGGCTATCCTAGGGGAGCCACAGCCCCTGTGTCCAGGAATGAATCCCACCTCAATGTGTCAATACCAGAGAACCTTTGGGAGTGAGGGGAGTTGCTGTCTGGGGGCATGAGATAAGGGTGTTTCTAAAGGCTAAATGCCATAGGGAGTGGGCTGCTGAGGACCATGGGAATCCTGACCAGCTGTGTGTGATGGTCTGTACCTGCAGCTGGAGTGGGACTGTGGTCCTGAGGGCTCAAATGTCCACATGCCAGCAACTGGGGAGATCTGAGGTAGATGCTGGGCAGACCATCTGTCTAAGCTCAGCTGCTGGAGGGATCCACCTTGTGCAGATGTGTGTATCATAGAGTCATAGAATTTGGGCTGGAAGGGACCTTAAAGCTCATCCAGTTCCAACCCTCTGCCACATGCAGGGACACCTTCCACTAGAGCAGGTTGCTCCAAGCCCCTGTGTCCAACCTGGCCTTGAAAGACCACTGGTAATATGCTTTCTCCTTTATTTGTAGAGTAAACCTGGGAGAAGAGTAGAAAGATATGTGGCATTTGGCTTTGTAATTTCTCATTTCCTTCCTCTTGTGGGTTGAGCTTGTAATGTATGTAACAGCCTTAAAACTAGTGTACAGCAAGCTTGTTGGTGTATTCATTTCCTAGAATTTGAGATCTGATGGGGTGGGACGGGTCGTTTGAGAAGCAACAGGGAAGGCAACAAAAATAAGCTGTATACAAACCTTTCTCGGTGTGTACATAAACTATAGCCTAACACCTACCTATAAAATATTCACTAATGCACAAAGTTTATGCATCAAAAGCTTGTGAAGCTGTGAGTTTCAGATACAAATAGTAGTGATTAAAAAAGAAAACACCTCTAAGTCTAAATATTATATAGGCACATTTTAACTACATAGACAAACATGCAATACCAATCATCTCCTTCAAAACAGCGGCTCAAGCTCAGGCCTGCTTCCTGATGAGAAGAATTTAAAAGAAACCAAAAATACTCCCAAGAAATAAATTAATGTATGCATAGAAATTCTTCAGTAGGTGACCTAATTTTAAAGACCAGCGGGCATTTATGTCCATTGCCTGTAGAGAGAAAGGGTGGCCAGGGAAATCCTACTGTGATGAAACCCATGCATCCATGGCAATTGTGCTGGACTGAATTTCCTCATTGGCATAATTCCATGAAATTAAAAGAAGTGATGTGAAGAATGTGTTCTCATGTTTGAGCAAAACGACCCTAAAAGACTAATTTTAGTTTAGCTCCCTGACAGAAGGTCTTTTGTAACATCCTAATTGCCTAATTCCTATCTTTGTTTTCTTTTCTGTGAGGTGAGACGTTGACATTCTTTTTTGTCAGTGGAAATATTTTTCCTTCTCCAGGGAAAACAACCCTATCATCAAATCAAATCAATCATAGTTGCTAGATTTATGCTTTCTTTTTGTCAGTGCTACATACAGACATCAAGAGAGATACCTACTAGCATGTTCCACCTGTTTGTCTGGAGATGAAGCTTTGCTCCCTAAGGTTGTATAATTCTTCAGTGTCAAGCAGCTGATTTATATTACTTTTGTGTGTTCTACAGCCAAATCATTTTGATTGCCAGGACATTTTGTTCAGGCTCCACTTCTCTTCTGTGGATTTGACTTCATTTTTGTGTACTTAGAAGGTGTGATGAATTACCTTACATAGTATGAAACATCTAGAGTGGAACAATGACTATGTTTACAAATGGCTTTATTCCTTTCAAGAGAATTTATCTTAACGTTACATGGTATATATTTGCAATAATGTTTTTGACCATGAAACAAACAACTCTGATCTCTCATCAAGTGCATCTTCCCTATAATAATGCATTTGCAGAATGTCTTGTTACTATACATGGATTTTTTTTGGTAGCTGGATCATTTTCCTACATGAAAGCCCATCAGGCTCACAAGTATTTCAACAAATGGAGTGATTTGGGCATGTGACTTTAAAGTTTTCTGAGTGAGGTAGAAAAGTAAAGCTGAAAGAAAAATCTGTGCCACTGTTCTTTATGAGAAAAGGTTCTGTCTTTGTTCTCTGTATCATTATTGGAGCGAAACGTTATTTAGTGTGTCTTCTCTTTCACAACAGCCTGCAAGAGCATTCGCTGGGCTAATCTTAATCTTCAGTTTGCTCTTCAAAATGAATGCTTCTGATGTGAGGCTACTTTACAGGAAGCGTGACCTCATTCTGCCTCTGTGCTGCTGATTGCACGGGCTGTTTTCAAAAGGAAACAGGGGACTTCATAGACCTGCCTTTCCGAAGCCCCAGAGCTAATCTCTTCCAGGAAGCTGCAGAAGGAGCACCCTCCACTTAATGTCTCAGAGGCTCTCACGTTGATGACGAGAAACTCTTTTGCATACATGTGTTAATAGTGAAATGGATTTTCCAGGTTTGGAAGATTTTACACATTTATCTCAATATATTTGTCAGCTGAGGAATAACTAAGCTTTGGATTCATTTCTGTACTGCTCTTCAGGAAGTTTTGTATTTCTGTGAATGTTCTTGTCGTTGCCTGCAGGGAGAAAAGGCTAGACTGCTCTTCAGAAATGACTGATATGTGTGAACAAACAAAACTACCTTTGTAGGCACTCGTGTTTGACAGGTTCAACAGAACAAAACTGGTTGCCTGCTATTAAGTATTCTAATAGCTAACACTGTATTTTGGTACCTACTAATGTAAATATTTAGAATGTGAAGATGGACAGGGGGCTGCTGGCTACCAATTGAGGGCATCATTGGCTTAAAGAGTAATTTGGCTTTTGGAGGGAAAGATAGTTAAAACTGATTCTTTTGGACAGTGACTGTATTGCAACACAGGGTTTTGGGTGTTTTGAAATTCAAGAGGGGTTGTTGCCTTAAACTTTTATTTGAGTTCTTTACATAAAATACTGCTGTGTTCACCTCAGGTTAATTTTTAGTCCAATTTCTTATAGGTGTTGGGCTTTTCTTGTATTATAGTTTAAAGGTTCTGTATTGATGCTCAGTTTGTGGATTACAGATATATTGCTACTGCTTCATTGTACAGTGGTGGTTGAAATGCTTTGTTTTGGCTTGCTTATACTGTTACTATAGCTTCTCACGCTATTAATAGTCCAGAAACAGGACTGAATATGAAATGAAAGCAGAACACTGTGCAGCATTGTCTACAACATAGTATTTCCATGTTTTCCCCAGCATTGATTGAATTATGATTTTCAGGAACCCTCTTCATTAACATGAGACAAAAATTCTCATGATCAAGGGTAGCAAAAAATTCCATTGGACTGCCTGTTCTATGACTCTTTGTGGAAGCTTGGTATTATCATTAGTTAAAAGCAAATTACAACTGCCTATTGACTTCCTGTCTTTTGAAGAACAGTTATCTTCTCCTCAGCAATACATTGCATAGATATATATATTGCTTTCTCTTATGAATTTATGTATATACTTTGGTTTACCTTAAATTTTATTTCTGTGGAAGGTGGCAGATAAACAAGCACCCAGCAGAAACGTATGTTGCATATTTATGGGACAATTCAGATCGGTAATGGAAGGACTGTGGTTTGTTCTGCCACTTTGATCAGTATGTGCCAACGCTTTCTAATGAAAGCACTACCCATATGTAAGCTACTGTTCTTAAATGTTATTTGTTTTTAGTGGTTGCTACTTTATATTATCATAACTGAAATAAATCACATGCAAAACAACTGTGTTGTGGGTTTCAGTTGCTGGAAAGTTTCACACTCAGTTTACTAAAGAGTTGTATAGCTGATGCTGAGGCCGTATCCCTTTTCAAAGAAATTTGCTCTAGAATCAGTCACTTTAGCTTAACCAAAATATATCACAACTAATAATGGGATATATATTGATGATACTATCTTAAACATCCTCATTTTCAAGCAAGAAAAAATGAACCATGCTTCTGTTTCTTTTTAAACTCTTTTACAGATAATCTGTATCACCCATTATCCCAGAGTGCGTGAAACAGTCCTTTTCAAGATGTATGGAGTATCACACGTTGCATCAACACCAAGAACAAGTAAATGTGTGCACATTTGTCAGAACTTTTAATTAAAAGAAACCCCATCCTGTTGTGGGGGGGATCTTGTTTGGCTGATAAGATTTGGGATTTTGAATGGTTTAGTTTATATCCAGATCTACAAAGGAGTTCTTCCTGTATTTTGTTTAAGTTTGGATGAATTTCTTGGTTGTCAGTATATTTTTGCACAATTAAAAATCATGATTCTGCCTAAAATGAGAGCTAATTGTGTATGAAAAAAAGTAAGTCTACAACATGTCAGTCTCTGAAATACACCACCACTCTTGTTTCTTATACAACTTGCTGTGTGGCATTCTGACCCATGTAACTTATCTCTTTATACCTCCACCAAGTTTCTTCCAGTTATCTCCTCAAGTTGTTTTTGCAAGGGTTAGAGCAGAATTTACTCGTACTAAAGTAATTCTTTTTCATTATTTTTTTCAAAGCGTAGGACAAACAGTATTTATGGGAGTAGGGTAATAGGACTGGAAGGTTTTACGTCCCTTCTTTGGTGACCCTGCCTGGTTCCAAGGCTCAGTCAGCCTTTGCGTCCAGGCTGTGGCTGACAACTGAGCTCCAAATGAGGTTAAACAAGATTTCCGAAGTGGAAACACTGACCTTCATGTCTTTTCTCTGCCTCAGTTCATAATTGAACATAAAAAAAAAGAATTTTATTAGACCCATCTACTCCCACAGGTGCACAATGATGCTCAAAAGGTACAGGAGAGGCAAGGTAATATGGGGAAAGATCTTATCTTTTAACTTTCCATGTATAACGTATAAATTGTCCCTATGGATAGCCATTGCTTATATTCTGACTGATTCTGGCATCTGGCAGCACTTTGCAGACTTGAGCCATAGTAAACCAGACAAATCTCATTTCCTTAGTCTTCTGTCACAATACTATTGTCAAACCTTTGTCATTGTTTTTATACCAGAGCCTGTTGTGCTACATCTGCAATTTTAATCTGAAAAATATATTCTAATGGTTATGGTGACCCTTCCATTCTGCTCTGTTCCTATTGTCAGTACGTGTACTGTTTTTGACCCTAACACTGTTAAAATTACTGCAGCTACTGAGTTTGTGGCCATAATTATTTCTCTCAAGGTTGTGAGCTGTGCGGAGTAGAAGTATCTGATTATGGGTGGTTCTGATTCTGCATTAAGATGAGTTTCCTATAAACACTGTCTTTCATTTGTTTTGTCTCCTTTAATCTCTCCCTTTTCTTTTATTAGCTTCTAATATGATCTTTTTTTATATGCACAAGGTACCTGTCAGTGAAGACCTGTCAACTGCTTAAGCTGTCAGTAGATAGGATAAACACTCCTGATTTGGCCTTTGCCTCTACAGGTTCAAGAGCATTTAATGAAGAACATAGACACAGCCTCTCACAACGTGTTTTTCCAAGGTATTGAGGAAAATTATACTCATTCAATTTCATTTTTATTTCATTGGAGATTTTGTAAAACCCCTTTGGGGCCGCTCAGAATTGTAGTTCTGATGTTAATTTAATTAGTGCTTTAAATGAAAATTCACAAGTACCGCTGTGGAGATTGGAAGCACTGGCTTTGCAACTACAAGGTTTTGGAGTATCTCTGTTTCACCTGCTTTTCCCTCCACTGAAATTATGGTATCCGTCTGTGACGTGCCATATGGGATAGTGAAACATGCTACTGAAACACATGTCAGCCACTGAATCAGTCCAGTGTCTGCCTTTCATTCCACTGCTTGGCCCCTTGGAACTCAAAAGCGTTGAGGAGAAAGGGCTAACCATGAATCCAATTTTCTTGAGCTAAGTAAATGTCTACAACGTTTAGATTCTTTCACCCTTGTCACTACTCACTTCTACTTTAAATACACATAATGTATTTTTCTGTGCTATATTTCATCTCTAAGCCAATTGTATTTCAGTGCTGGATGAAGTTACCACCATGGGTAGACTTTATCCCATGTTGTTCTCGCTGTGTGGTATTCTAGGTTCGTGAGAACTAAGTCATGTATCTTTAAGTCTGCATTAAGTATGGCTAGCTTATAAAAAGCAAATAAAAGCTGCCTGATTTGGAGGCAGTCAGGCTTGTGCCTCACAGAATAACTCAGAGAAGTAAAATAATGGAATACCTCCATCGGCTCCAGGTAGGTGTGCATCTGGCAGGACTCCTTGGCCAAGAGCACTGCCACAGAAATGCATCATGCACATCTCCATTCAAGCTGGCTCCATGCTTTCATGAAATGCTACACCTGGCATGAAGCCCTCCAGTAGTCTGAAGCTCTGGAAAGTGTGATGCAGGCACGTTCTAGCTGTCTGAAACTCCCTGCGTCCAGAAGTAATATCTTTATAGCCACATATTCTAAATCTGTGCCATTACTAGTCCTCATCAGATGGTAATATAAATTCAGTATTATTAAATCATGGGTTTGCTCTGTCTAGACAGTCACTAAATTAGAGAGTTTGTTTTGCTTTTTCAGTCATGCTTGTGCATTTTCGGACGATGACCCTGCCTATGAGTGTTGTTCCACAAATACTCCACCAGGATCCCTTTCCATATGTCGCCACAGCCCTCGACTGCTTTCTAATGGTTATTACATTTTGACAGAAGACAGTTTTCTGTCTGATGAAGAGGGCAACATAACCCTGACACCATCCCAGACAAGTGTGATGTACAAAGAGAATTTAGTTCGGTAAGTGAACTATGTGCAGTTTTCACTCAATGTTGCCAATTGTCTCCACATCTCTGGGCTTATCTAGAGGTGTCAGTGTGGCTGTCTTCATTTTGCTTGGCATAATATCAGCATTGCTTCTTAATGGGAACGTCTCAATTGATTTAGTTTAGAGAGTGCAGTGACTGAAATAACTTGATATTCAGTCATGTCTAATATTTCTATTAAAGAATTCTTCAGTACACAGTTGTTGCTGTAACTGGAGTTGTATCCAATAGAGAAAAGGGAAAGCTACAGCTCATTTTGCCATTAGGGTGTTACCATGATAAGGAATAAGGAAATAAAGTATAGATGTGTCTATATATATTATACATATAAAAAAATAAAAAGATCTGGTCCTGGAATTCTTCCTCATGGAAAAATCTCTCCTGATTTCAGAAGAACATCGATTTAGGAAAGCATCTAATGTTGAAGCACAGTGGATTCAGGCTGCACCAAATGGGATACGATAGGGTGAAACTCATGGGTATCAGGAAACCACTCACAGTAGTATCAGAGCCCAATAACTGTAGCATCATTCGTTATCACAATATTCAGTATCACAACAGTATGATATATTGCCATATATTGCTGCTAATACATTCCTTGGCATTATCACAGAGTGCAGCAGTCATTCTTGGTGACATACCCAGAGTCAAGAACAGAGCTAGGAACAGCACCCAAAACCTGTTTTTTTCATGTCTGTTCTGCAAATTTCAGAGCTCTGTCCCTGCTCCACAAGAATGATGAACTCTATCCCTTGACAACGTGTCTTTTCTTTCTAGGGTATTCAGGCGAAGAAAGAAGATCCGTCGCTCTCTTACCAGCTTGTTCAGTCTTGATGCCTCCACTTCATGGCTCAGCAGCACCAACCCCAGCAATCTGGATTCCTCCCATTTAAATGATCCTTGGTCTGATGGATGTGGTGAACTAGAAGCCAGTCAGAGTGATATTGGTAAGCCCTGAGGAGGCACCAGGTAATCAAGCTACAACATTGCAGTCTATGTTTAGTGGACTTGGGAATCTTTTTCTAGAGGTTTTGCAGGGGTTGTTGGCCAAGTTGTGTAGGTAAAGGTTAGATGAATGACAGAACTGTAAGTGGTAAATTGAGCTTCTGGCATTAAAACAGAGTATGAGTCCACAAAGACCTTGATGCCAAAAAGACATTTTTAGGCTGAATTTGAATCCAAAGTCACCACAAGTGATGTTTATGCTGGTGTAATTAATATGTGATGGTCTATGCAATTTTGTCTTTACTCTCCATACTTTCTCCTGCATACACTGAACCAGCCAGTTCCCTAGTCTTCACAATTTGGAAACCTCCCTGTGATTAAATAATTAACCTCCCCAACCCAATTCTCAACACAAGTCTCAACGTCTCAAAGCTCTTCCTTTGTGCAATCTCAGTTATATTTGCACTTTTTGTAGGAGATTCAGACTTTTCTTCTGAATCTAACAGCTATGACAGCCATGTGCCACAAACTCCAGCTTCTAATGGAGCCTCTCTCAGCAAAGGTGACAAGTTCCTTCAGCCTGAGAAACCACCTTGTGCATCAAAATCTAGCTCTCCATTTATGATAAATGCAAATGAAGGGATTTGGAGCAATGCAGGTGTGTTACCTTCTTATTCTGATATGCCTCATTTTTAGGATGAACTATAAATGCATTGAAGATATTGATATGCCCCCTTGTAGAATAGAATTTATTTCCTGAAACATACATTTAAAATGACTGATTAAAAAAATAAGGCATTTACTTGTTTACCCCTCTCTGCCCGCATCTTTTCCTCTCCTATTTTCAGTGATAAATGGAAAAAGAAAACAGTGGAGTGAAGAGGAAAATGGAGGAAAGGGCATGGGAACAACTGAAATAGGCGATTATTCAGAAAGTCTTGTTTTCTGAGAGTGTGCAGGGCACAGTGTCTCTATGGCTGTGGGGGAAAAAGACTTCTGAGAGACACCCAGAGCATGAAAATTAGGTTTCTGCTTTGAATCACTCTGGGCGACATCTCTTAAAAAGAAACTCAAGACACTGGCCTCACAGGCTGAAGGTCTTTGCAAACACCTCCCGTCATACATTTACTTTCCTGGAAACTCATGAGGATTATTTTCCTGGTTTTTGTTCTAGAATCCAGGACAGTGCAAAGTGTCCTGTCTCAGATGATTGCACTGGTCACGTGTTTAATCATTTCAATATGTACAAGGTAACTTTTATTTCTTTTGTTTCTGATATTAATGCTTACTGCATTTCAACTCTTGGACAAATCATAAATTAAGGGTCACATTTTTAAAGTTGGATATATCTTACTGTGAAAACATATTTTCACATTATAGTTGGTGCAGGCAAAAATCTGAGCTATATGGATATGCACAAAAATAAGAAATATGTATGCAGATATGGAAACTACTTTGTCAAGTGGGCTTGGACAGGGGTTTTGAAAGGCTGAGAAGAATCAGGATGGATCCATATCTTTCTAGGTGACCAGTATGTAATCTAAAGTCTTACATGGTATTTCATCTACCAGCGTTTAGAGGGTTCATCCACAAGAACTTTCTCTCCTCCTCCCACCCAGGCTGCATCTCTGTTAATCCAATATGCATCCCTTGGTTTTTTCTAACCTTTATGGGTATTGTTATGTTCTCAGATATTTTTTGGGAGGACTGTCTGCCACTTTGTTGCTGATACTTTTAGTTTGTAAGTACAGACTTTCTTTATTTCAACACTCAGTGTTTTATTAAGTCACATCTCAGGACCAAAAGCTATCCTTGGATATATACCCACAGCTCTTATTGATGCTAATAAGAGTTACGTGGGCATATGGGGACAGAATGTAGCCTTCTATGGTTACAGGATTTTGCATTTGAATTTCACAGTTCTTCTGTCCAAAGATGCTGCTGTGTCATCTTTCTTCAGTCTTGACACATCTTTCAAGACAACTAAGTTTTGGTAAGTGGCTCCAGCGTCATATGATGACTAGAGGAATTTAGAAATTTTATATTAAGAAGAAGGAGAGATTCATTCTGTTGGTTCCATGTCAAAAAGTAGAAGGCATGGTCTGAAGTTACTGGTGGATGATATGGCTTTTCTCTTACTGATTTGTATTGATATAAATTTTCTGTTTATTTTGAAAAACTGCCTTTTCATAATGTGCAATAAATTACATTTATTTGTTGTTAGAAAAGAAAGGTAAAGCTAATGTGCTACACCACAAAGATGCAGAGACAGCCTCATCACCACTTCCCAGGGACTACAGAATTGATACGACTTGGCCCCACTAACCCAATGTTCCATTAGCTTCAGGACAGAGCTTTGCCTTTGGCATATACTGTAGTCTGATAAATGTCTTAGAGAGAAGTAGTAAATCAGTCTGATCAGTTGAATAAAGGTGCTGCTGTTGTTGTTTCAGACTGTCTATTTCCAAGGTTTGCACAGAGCTGGGGATTCTAACCCCTTAGAAAAAGAGTTTAGAAAAAAGACTTAGATATTTAGATGGTCTGAATTCTATCTTTACAGCAAGGTCATATACAGGCCTCCATGCTGAAAGCATGTGTGTGTGTGTGCTGGATTTATGAATTACCATTCTTTCACTCTTTATGCAGGAGAAAATTCTTCTGAGTGTGTAAAATCTAAAATGCTGCTGACACTAGAAACATTTGGGCTTATCTCAATTTTTCTGTGATGAAAGTGAAGCTCAAAAAAGGACATTGTTTCTGCAACTGTGTCAGGGTTCAGGAGTTCAGTGTATCCCAAGGGCACAAGACAATCTGGCAGACCTCTTAGCGTTTGAATTGAGGATGGTGGAAGTTAGAAACAAGACGGCACAGCTTGGAGAGCTCTATTGCAATGACAGTGTCAGATTTGGAGCATCCAAGGGTCTTAGCACAACACCTTGGATACTCAAGGGTGGTACATTACACTTTGTCACTATGTCCTTCGTCCCAGTAAAATCAAGGCCACCAGGTTAGGACTGGAGTGTTGCAAATGCATGTTCCAAAGTTCTGCTTTCTGACTTCCTGAATAGTTTAGCCCTGAGTCATAAACAAAACCATTCTTCACAAAAGGAAAACAAATACACTCTGAGAGCTTTTCAGTCACTGGTGTACAAAGAATACCTCTTTTCTGCTTGTCACAAGTGAGAAGTTACCTACTCAGGCAAGTAGTCCTACAGCTTAACTAAATTTGGCAAACCAGGACCTACATAAATCCTCATTATAACAAACTGTGGTTTAAATCAGGACAGACAAAAGTGTATGCTTCCCACCCCAACTCCCCCAGCCCACCCCCTTTCTTTGGAAAGCAAGAATAATTGGGGAGTATATGTTTAAATTTAGAAGGAATTCCTTAGTTTTTGGGGTGAGCCCTGCTATGAATCAGGGTTCAAGCATGCCAGGAAGGTTCCTTGGACTTCTCATTAACGGAAGGGTTAGCTGTGGGACACTTGCCAGTTTCCACAGCGAATGATTCCACTTTGCTGTCTAAAACGCCTTTTTTATTTCATTTGGATGAAATACTTTTTTTATTGTTTGACAACAGTTGCTAAATAGTGTAAGCTGTTAAACAACTGCTGTGCTTCAGCCCAGAGAAAACATGGTTTCTAGTAACAGGCAAAGCAAGTCTTCCTTCTTCCGAGTTTAAACCAAGCAGTAGTGCCAGGTGCTGTACTGCTCTAGCTTGGTGCCATTCCACTGAAGCACTGGAGCACCATCAGCATGTAACAGCCCAGAACATCTAGAAAACACTCATAGATTCTTCTTTTCCCAACTCTTTTTCAGCCAAGCCCCATCCTTCTCCTCCAGTTACTGATTATCATGCATTTCTAAGTCTTGGTGCAGCTCAGAAACTTTAAAACAAGAGCACTGACTTATTTGTACTTGGCGCTGGCTATCCCCATCCTGGCTCAGTTATTTCCTTTATCTCTTTGCTTTGAAAAGATAAAGTGAAAGGAGGGAACTAAGTGGAACTGTGCCCAGGTTTCTGTTCCTTATAGTGTGGATAAAACAGCCTTGTTCTTCCATTTGCTGTTGAGCGCAGTTCAGCTTCTGAGATCTAAAGGCATCCGCACAGCTGCAGACACAGCCTTGGAAACCTTACAGTCTGCCCTCAGAAGGAGGACGTTCCTCCTGAGAACAAAGCCACAACAAATGATAAGCAGCATCTGGTCACTTTGCAGACTTACTAAAGCCTACGATGCTTTATGATACATCCTACTCATCCAGTCTGCCAAGCAGCGGACACCAGATATGGCACTTCTTAAAGGCAGCGGTACTGTTTATGTAAGGGCTGACTCTGATTGTGAAAGCCAGTATCAATATTAACTGAAGCAGGTACTCCAGGATGAAGTGGAGAACTTGGGTTTTGTTGCCTAGCAGGAGTAAACTAAATACAAACTGGCACAGGTTACCGCGAGACAGGACCTCCAGCATTTCAAAACATGCTTGTCTCTTGCCTTTCATAAAAACTTAAGAGCAGAGTAGTTACTTCTGTGTATTTTGAAATGAGTTCACTAACAGCTTTCATTTTTCCTCCTCCTCAAATTTATTTACCTCAGCTCTTCAGCATCAAACTACTGAACACCTCCTTATGGCCATCGTTACACATGTTCCTGTGGAAAAAAACAACAGAATTGTTAGTGTTCTTCCTTCAAAATAGAGTAAATTTTAGCTTTATTTTTACTTTTATTCTGCTCAAACTGTGAGTGGAGCCTTAATTTCTTGGTGCCTATCTGAAAGCAGTCATGTGAAACAATTGCTCTTATGTCAATGAAGTTTCATGCAGGCATGGGGTCCTACAAGCCTTTTGATAACAAATTGAAGGTAAAAAGTGCTTTGTAATCCACATTTTTTATAAAAATTGATGTCTTCCCATACTTTCTGTATTAATTCCTTGTAAGGACATGCTGTCAATGACAATTGATTTGGATAGTGGCTGAGTACACATGGTAATATATTTCGGAAGCTTTACTGTATCTTGTGTGTGCACTGCCTTTTGGCCTCTATGCTAAGCACGAAGAAAAGAAACAAAGAGGAAGAAAGAAACATTATTAGAAGGAAAGCACTCCTCAGAAAACCAGGAATCAGGATGTGGAGAAGCAATGCCTAATCTGAATTACTTGGATTTATGTACAAAAATATGAGACCTGCAGGTATTTACTTTGGAAACACTGAGCTCTAATTTTCAGCTTGGATCTTTGCTACAGCAGACTAAATTACACATAGAACCTGTGGGTAACCAAAAACTGTTATCTTGTGACTCCAAGCTTTTAATAATCTGCTTCTTGAAATATCTCCCTGTATGCCAGTTTAGCTAGGACAGCATGGGTTTCATCTTCCTGCACAACAAAATGATGGTAATGCGTGAGGATGCTATTGCCCACCTCATCGTTCTATAACTAGTGCTGCTTCTAGTCTACTTGTGTCCTGCTGTGCTAAAAGCCATGCTAGCACAGCTCCAGCTGGTAAATCAGACATGAAATGCTGCATGTGGAAGGGCTGGGTGTGCCCATGGGGTACAATCAGGCTGGCAGGCACAATGGCAGGGGTTTGAAAACTCTGCAGCAAAAGCACACAAACGAAAGGTCCTGGTATCCAACCAGCTCTAAGCCAAGCTCAAGCAGGTTATAACTGTATTTCTAGCATTGAAAATCTGAACAAATCATGCCATGAGGAAAAAGGGGACTTGAAATTAAGTTAAAATGTACATTCCTCTTTCAAAGGGTGAATATATGCTGGTTATGTTTTGAAGACGGCATCAAAAGCTCAACATTAAGAACTCAAAGAGGGAAATTTCACCCAAATTACCAATGTTGCATAGTAATTTACTTTTTCCCAGTGCATTAAATTGACTTTATGTGAAGACAGACCATTTGATGTAACAAGAGCAGGTTTTATAGTTTCAATAAATGGTGATGATAGAATATTCTTTTAAATAAAACTGATGTATTATGTCACTAAAATAGTAGTTATAATACTTATCCTCTTATTAACTTGCAGTTAATGCTCTTGAATAATTTTGTTAGTATTAAATATTTCTGCTTATTTACTTTATGGAGACAATTGAGAGCAAATATCATTGTTTAATATGTGTACATATTTTTTAACTTATTTTATTGCTACTTGTAACAGATCCATTACTAAACAAGCTTTTAAAACTCAAGGATTATACAGATTCTTAGTGTATAAATAATCTCCTAGAAGAATAAGCAGGAAAATTAAATGCCTTACTGAGAGAAAGTTCTAAAACTGCAACTACCCTGCAGTCATCAAAGCGATTATGCTGAAAAGTAGGAAAACCTGAATTCACTGTAAACTAGTTAGTTCACTGCAAACTAGCAAAGAAAAAGCTGATTCAGCTTGCCAAAAGTTTAGTCTAAAATGAATTGCTATAATCTGTCTATGAATAAATATAAACTGTAAGTTAGAATCGAGAGGGAACTTCTGGGACAATTTGGCAATTGGGGTTCAAAGGCTAAACATAAGATGCTTGTTAACGGTTAAGATCTGTCCTCCATATATTAACTAATGTCAAATTAACAATGTTCTGTTCAGTTACCAGCCTGGTTAGCTTTGGTAGTTCCCTTCTATGTATTCCAAAGGACATAAAACCAAGCTTTGTATTGTCTCTTTGAAAAGAGGCATAATAATATGTTCAGTCTTGTTGGATGAAAAAATTGAAGCCAGGGTCTGTCTGGTGAAAAAATTGAAGCCAATGTTTTATAACCTAAATGTTTGAATCCAGACGTTCAGAGGTAATCAGCATTTGCAGCTTCTGTTAACTAGAGTACCAAGCCTAGGATAATTGTGAAATGTAATTGCAGCAAAGTAAAACCACTTGTTGATTAATGATAACTGACACATCTACAGAGAATTTCATGTTTCTGTCCCCAGTGATTAAACTCTTACTCCACTTCAATATAGCAGGTTATTTAGAAAAACTACAAAGAATTTCAA